TTTTTTTTTTTTTTGCTTCAGGGACATGCTGGTAAAGTAATCTTACATTGTTGCTCTATAACCTGGGGTGGATTTCTGACAAGCTTCACAGGACTCCTGCACCTCCTGATGCACAGCTGAAGGATTTCTCTGAATTTCCAAAGCCGGATCAGAGACCCAGCTAGAGAAACCCAGCCAAACTCCCCCAGAGCAGCCGAAAACAGCACAGATCTGGAGAGGTACGTCTATTTATTTGTTTATTTTGCACAGTGTAATGTTGCTTACCCTCCTCCTACTCCTTTTGTTAAAGCCAGCCACTGTTCCCTACTGAAGCAGTTTAACCCCCTGCTTCCCACCGTTTCACGCATCCCTCACTCAGCCAGTCCTGGGTGCTTGCCTGTCCCTCAACAACTCCCTCATCCCTGAAGGAAACATCCACCGTATTGACTATTTTAATAATCCTGCAGAGAGAAAACCCTTGTTTCCCCCCTTGCCTGATCTGAGCAAGTGCTAATTGGTCAGACACACAACGCGCACACACAGAAGCATCGTGTTGATCTGATTGCAAATCCCAGTACGTCAGCAACCCAGAGACCCTCCTCCAACTCGGATTAGAGGGAAGAGGCTCACCAGTGCAAGCAGCAGGTGCTGGAGGAGGCAGCAGAGCCGCTCCCCAGGTAAGGGACACTTCAGCCCTCTGTCCCCAACGCCGGCAGTCCCACTCATTTGACTGCTGTGCGACAACAAAAGGCAAGAGAAGTGAGGCACTTCTCTTTGCAGAGCCTGGGACTGGTTGCCAAACCTTTGATCTTTACGGCGGGGGTAGGGGTCAGTTGTTTGCTCCTTCCCTGCGGAGGAATTCTTGGAAGTATGGGTCAGACAATAGTGATGGATGTGGTAACTACTACAGATGGAATGATTCTTGCTGTGGCTCTAAAGTGGATTTGCTTTCAGGGTACTTTTCTCCCTCTTCCCTAGTTAATCCTGAACTTCTGAGATTTACTGGTTTGTCTGTCCGTCTGTGCCAAATTTGGGGTGCTGCCAGTTGTTTGTACTAAGGATGGTTTTCAGAGTGAGTAAGTTCATAGCCCACCCTTGCTTAAAGGTGTACTTTGATTGCAGGGTAATGCCCTTTAACGCTAATTTCAGAAATACTCCCTGAACTATTTTTCCCCCCCCCTCTTTCTTTTGCTAGGGGACCCTGGGAGTGGGGAGTAGCAGTGTCAGAAACGTCTTCATTGTCTGTGAAATCTCAGCCCGTGAAGAGCCTGAACTCCGACACAAAGGCAGGCGCTAATTAACCACTGGAACGCTTCTGCTCCTGCCCGGCAAGCGAGCGCTGTGCCAGAGAACCAGCAGCCGTCCCTCAGGTCCTCCAAGGGCTGTGAACAGCCAGCCAGGCACGAAATTCCCCCTTCTGCCTCCTTGTTCCTGGCCAGCCCCTGAAGAACTCTCACAGCAGACAGCTGAACGGGAGCCGCTCAACTCCCCCAGCAAAGGAAAGCCAAAGCTCACCAGAATACTCTCGGAAAGAAAAGTTCCTTGACTTATTTAGAAAGTCATTATTCTCTTGTTTTCTTGGTTCATGGAGCCTTATGTCTTCCAAACATTTTTTTCTCCCCTCATCACTTCAAAATCTAACAGGGGAAAGAGGTAAATTAGGTGGTCCATGAAGCCTCAGAGCTCCCCTTTGAAAATAAGCTGCATCTAAATGAGGTAACAGCTGCTTCACACAGGAAGGGGGAAAAAATTCCAACCAAACAAAGAATCTCTCACACTCCTGGGCTAGAAAGGCTTTCAGTGGCATCTGAGGGTGGTCTGTGATCAATAAACATGGGAAACATCTCCTTTTGGGATGATCTGAACAGCTCCTGCAGCAACGCAGGCAACAGCTGCTACCCGGAAAACAGCATGAGGTTCAACTTCACCCTCCAGGAGCAGGCAGCTGATTTCTACGTTGTCCTGCCTGTGATCTACTCTGTGATCTGTGCTGTGGGACTCACAGGCAACACTGCTGTCATCTATGTGATCCTCAAGGCCCCCAAGATGAAGACTGTGACCAACATGTTCATCCTGAACCTCGCTATCGCTGATGACTTGTTCACCCTTGTCTTGCCCATCAATATTGCAGAGCATCTCCTCCGCTACTGGCCCTTCGGAGAAATCCTCTGCAAGGTCATCTTGTCCATAGACCACTACAATATCTTCTCCAGCATTTATTTCCTGACAGTGATGAGCATAGACAGGTACCTGGTGGTACTGGCTACAGTCAGGTCCAAGAGGATGCCCCACCGCACGTACCGAGCAGCCAGGATTGTCAGCCTGTGCATCTGGATCCTGGTCACCATCATAGTCCTCCCTTTCATCATCTTTGCCAATGTCTACACTGATGACCTGGAGATCAAGAGTTGTGGTCTCAATTTCCCCAAGCCTGAGAGGTTTTGGTTCAAAGCCAGCAGGATCTACACCCTCATCCTTGGCTTTGCCATTCCAGTATCCACCATCTGCATCCTCTACACCATGATGCTCTACAAGCTGAGGAACATGCACTTGAACTCCAATGCCAGAGCCCTGGACAAAGCCAAGAAGAAAGTCACCGTTATGGTCTTCATAGTCCTGGCTGTGTTCCTCTTCTGTTGGACCCCCTTCCACCTGGCCACCATCGTGGCTTTGACCACTGACTTACCCCAAACCTCCATGGTCATTGGGATATCCTACTTCATCACCAGCCTAAGCTATGCCAATTCATGCTTGAATCCTTTCTTGTATGCTTTCCTGGATGACAGTTTTCGGAAAAGTTTCCGGAAGTTGCTGGAATGCAGAACTTCTTGAACAGGGGGTTGGGGCTGGCAGGTCCCTGACTTTCTGGGGCTTTTCAGGGGCAACTTTGCAGACTGGAGGAGTGGCCAATGAATGCACAAATGTCCTTTCTTTCATTTATATGTAACGTGTGCACTGTTTGTAATCCTCATCAGCAACAGGGTTTGTCCTGCCCACTTGCAACTCTTGTAATTCCTCACTTTGCTCCTACCAAGTCTCAGAGTTGCATTTCTAGACCCTGATTTTTAATTTCACCCTCTGAATTATTAAGAACAGAGCATTTCCTTTTCAGGGGTGCATTTCTGCCACAGAGTGGTCTTTTATTGCCATCTGCTGTACAGCAAGCTCAGGCTGGAGACAATTTCCAGGCGAGTGCAAAGCTCAGTCTGTATCACTGCGTTATTAGGGAGGATTGTTTAATACAGCAGAGCTAATGAGCACTTTCAATGAAACATCAATAAAACAGAGGATGAGTATTTGGAAGAGAAAAGAAACTATTTTCAATGTGCATTTATGTTCCTGTGTGTTATGGCTTTCTTTTTGATTTTGAAGGATGTCCATCTTCCACCCCACCACAAATTTCCTCTTTTCTGACTTGTTAAATTTAGACCAAAAGGAAGATTTCGGTCTCAAAAAAAAAAAAAAAAAAGCTAAACAGCACACCATACAAATACTATAACAACTGTGAGAGTTTGTGATAGAAATTATTTTGAGCTAGTTGTTCCTGTTATGTGTCAAATACATATTTATTTAAGAGTGAGTAATGAAATAAACCTCATGGGGGAAATAAAAGAGACTGGTCCTTCTTTCACAAGGGAAAATTCATGCCACTTGTGCCATATCTTTGCTACATATATATTGCATTTTGCCCATTATAAAATAAAACACAATAGGTTTGTAACAAAACTAAGATGCTTTGTAAACCATAAGAAAAACTCTAATGAGCACTGCAGATATAAAGATTCTTCTTTCACAGATAAATAGTCAAAATACTTGAACAAAACCAGGACTTGACTGGAGTCTGGAGGTCAGAAACTCCATATTGAAAGCTTGGAAAACTCATTCTCACACCCTTTAGCCCTGTGACGTTTGTATTATACTGGTTTTAGGAAGGTCATCTTAGCTAAAATATTTCCTTTAAGCTTTCCCCCGACCCCAGGTAGCAAGCTCCGCTCTTACCTGCTCAATTTCCCCAGGAAAGTGCAGGACAGGTAGCACAAAAGGAGAGGAGACTGCAGTTCTCAGCTTAAATGGGTTCTCAGAGCAATGGGTGGGTGTGGGTGGAGACCCCAGGTGAGACTGCTCCGAGCAATTCAGTGCCCTGAGCACCCCTACACCAAAACTGACCACCCTCAATACCTCGAGATGGTGGTTTCATTTACAGAAAACTAAAAACAGATGTGTGGATACAAGATCACGCCGCTGCCCTCTCCATATTAAAGGTGCTAACTGTGGGAGAGCAATGAAGGAGAACACATTCTTCCAGGCAAAACTTCTCCAGAAATTTTGCTTTAGCATGGTTGCCACCTGCTGGCAATGGGCTTCCCAGGTGGAAAAACCTCTCTGAGTGAGAAAACTGGCCCAAATTATGTCACCTCTCACACAAGCTGCCCAATCAGCTGAAACATTGCTGTTCATTGGCATTGGGGCTCTAGGAGAGGCAATGTATTTTATTAAGTAGAAAAATGACTGTATGTTTTTGCATGGAAATGGGCTTTTCAGTGTGAGTTACCCACTTCAGACACGACATGTGATATTGCTGGAGCTTTTTCTGTTAAATCACAAGACGTGACAGTCACAGAATCAAAGCAGGGTCAAATTTCCCAGCACCGTGTCCACTTGGGTTTGAATGTCTCCAAGGGTGGAGATACTACAGCTACTGTGGACAGTCCTGTAGTTCACCACTCTAACAGTGAATTTCCTTCCTAGTTTAATGGAATTTTCTATGTTTCACTTCGTGTCTCCTGTTGCTGGAGAGTCTGGTTTCCTCCTCCCTGAACCCTCCACAGGCACTTTGCTTGTATCCCCTGACCCTTCTAAGCACGAGCAGCCCCATCTCAGCATCTCCTTGTGGCAGCATCCTGCTGTATCCACGATTTTCTCCACGTCAAACACCTGACACGAGTCTTGGCCCCTCGCGTGGGTGCCAGGCTCCAAGGGGAGAAGGATTTGCACCGGCCGAGGTGTCCGGCCGTGCTCGGGAGAGGCTCCGGGTGAGCTTCAGCCCGGCGGCGCTAAGCGGCACTCGCTGCTTTCAGCTCAGCATCGCTGCATCCCCCGCAGCCTCTTCAGCCTCACACACAGCCCGGCACCCTGCTCCTGCGGGCAGCCAGCAAATTCGGGCTTCCCGTGCCTGGGCAGACCCTCGGAGCACAGCGGCAGAAGCCAGGCTGCTTCGGTTTCTTCTGGGAAAGCAGAAAACCCCTCCAGGGAGATGCTTGCCCACTCCAAGCACGGGATCCCCCCAGGGAAACCCCGCCCGATCCTTTGGATTTCCTCCCACGGCTGAGGCTGGCTTGTCTCACCAGCCCACATCAGCTGCATCCTGAAGACTGGAAGCGGGGAAATAAACCCCATGAACCATTCACTGAATAAATCCCCTCCTAAAGCAAGCATCCCGTGTGAGGTCTGCAGGGTCCCAGGAGGCTGAATTAGGAACCCCCAGGGTTCCCTCCTCCTCCTAACCCCTTCCTAGCCGTGCACTGAGCAGGGAAACCAGCTCAGCCTGAAAGCCGGGGAGATTTCCTTCAGGGACAGCGTGTGCTGTGTCAATGGTGCAAAGGTGCGGGGCAGCCACGCAGCTCCCGGACACGGCAGGAGCTGGAGCCTTCCTGCTGCTGCTACCCACTGCAGCAGGTTCCTGCTCCGGGGAGGAATCGCCTTCCTTTTGTCACACCCGTGAGGACACAGCCCTGGAGGACTCTGCTCCATCATCCCTGCGAGCCATTTCCTGCCCCAGAACAGCAATTAGGGCTCATATTCCCACTGCAGGCTTTCAACGCTGGCAGCTGAGCAAAGGCGGGGGATCGGAAGCAGTTGTTGCTTTTTAAGTCTTCGTGCTGCTGTAATATTGGCTGTTGGGATCAATTGTCCTCATCCGAGCTGTGCTGCAGCTTGTTCTCTCAAAAAGCTCTAATTCCCTGGGTCTGAGACAGTCCTACACTGCCTCCCTAAGGCTGGTCACGATTTTTGGGTGAGAAAAGAAATAATATCCCACTGAGAGTTGACGGCCTGGCTCTCAGAAGCGTCTTGATGTGAGGAAAATATGAAAATAAAAATTAAAGATGGAAAAGGAAAAAATTGGACTGTAAAAGATGAGAAGCAGAAGGGTATCCAGAAGATAGGGTTCAAATCAAGCCAAGAAATAGAACTTGTCCCTTCTCTGTATAACCTGACATGTGTAGCACTCACTTTGTTTCCTTGGGACTGCTGGGAGCCCCTGGGTGCTGATGAGCCACTGACAGTCCCACCATAAACCCAAGGTAATAATGACCCTCTGGGCTTACTGCCAATTCTGGGAGGAACAAGCCCAGTTTGGTGCCTTCAGAGGGTCTCAGCACATCAAGGTTTGACATTCCCACCTGCTGCTGAAGGCAAGGGGACTTCCCAGGCTGGATTCCCTCTCACAGTGAGTCAGGAGATCCTGAGGATTCTCTGTGGGCTGTGGGACATGGCCCTGGCAGCTCCCTGTCCATGCCCAGGGCATGTGTGTGGGTCTTGTCCCATCCACACCACCACTGCAGCTGAGGTTTTTCCTGGAGGCAGTTTTGGGGTGATAAACTCTTATTCTGTGGCAGGTCTGAGGCTTCCAGAGGAACTCCAGGCTTGTCATCATGAAGTGACAGGATGAGAGGAAATGGCCTCAAGTTGTGCCAGGGGAGGTTTGATTAGATATTAGGAAATATTTTTTCACCAAAAGGATGGTCAAGCCCTGGAAGAGGCTTCCCAGGGCAGTGTTCAAAACCTGTTCATGTGGCATTTCATTTGGGTTAGTGGTGAACGTGGTGGTGTGGCTGAGTCGATAGTTGGACTCATTGACCTTCTCTAAACTTAATGATTCTATGATTCCATTATATCAGACATCTTTAAAAAAAAATAAATCTTTCCAAAGAAACACCAGTTGAAAAGCCACAAGCCACATTTCCCTCCCTCCTCCTCCTTTTGCCTGGAAGTGAGGAAGAGGAGTTAATTTAAAGGCAAAGGCCAAGAATAGTGACTGTAAATAGTGCCGTGAGTCCTTGTTGGCATTTGTGTTTGGTAAGTGAAGATGCAGAGAGAAGGATAAAAGCTGCCTGAATGGCTTTTAATTACAGGCCTTGATTGTTCTATTTTCTCTCAGAAAAATACTGCAATTATCTAACAAAGCTCTTCAAGTGGAATTAGACACTAGCCCCAAGCTTCAAGGGCTGTTCAGTGGCTATTTTCTCTTTAAAAAAGAAAGTAAATTTGATGTGTAGATAAAAACCAGGCACTCTACTTACTGCCTACAGCCAAGTCTGGAGCTTCCTGGGTAAAGAGAGGATGGCAATCTTTCCCCATGAGGCAGTGAACAGCCTGGGGTGCACCAAAGGCTGGTGTCGCTCTGCTAAAGCCCCCCACCACAATGTTCCCTGGCTGGGTGGGGTGGGGGCTCTGGGTGCTGCCATCAGCATCCCACGTGGGAAGGGGAAGTTCCCTTTGGGGGTAAAATAAGCTAGAATTTGACAGCCAGAGCTTTGTCCTCATTTTCAGTTTTCCTGAGATGTTTTCTTTCTCTGTCTTTCACCAGGACTTCTGCACATCTCCATCACCTCCCCTTGCTCCAATGCTTCTCCTGCACAGCTCATGCCAGAAATGTGAGACACCTTGGGAGTTTCTAAGGTCCAAATCATCCCCTGTACAAGACTCAATAAACCAGCTGAATAAGGAAATCAGAGAAATAAGGATTCCATTTCATAAACTTAACCCTCAAATGAGATCAGAGACTGGTAATTAACAAAGTCAGATTTCAACGCAAAGAAAAATCTCCCCTGAGACTCAACCTGCTGCTGCTCAGCATTGATGGAAATCCTACGGATGTAATTAAATTTCCCTTATCCATGTGATGGATTCAGGGGGATCCTTCATGCTGTGGCCACACCCAGCTCAGCTCCTTCATCCAGGCTGGCCAGGAGCTGGGATGT